GCCACAGTGGGGAGCTCACGCACTGTCAGCTGGCGAGGCCGGCCACAGTGGGGAGCTCACGCACTGTCAGCTGGCGAGGCCGGCCACAGTGGGGAGCTCACGCACTGTCAGCTGGTGAGCCGGCCACAGTGGGGAGCTCACGCACTGTCAGCTGGCGAGGCCGGCCACAGTGGGGAGCTCACGCACTGTCAGATGGTGAGGCTGGCCACAGTGGGGAGCTCACGCACTGTCAGCTACTGAGGCTGGCCACAGTGGGGAGCTCACGCACTGTCAGCTGGCGAGGCCGGCCACAGTGGGGAGCTCACGCACTGTCAGATGGTGAGGCTGGCCACAGTGGGGAGCTCACGCACTGTCAGCTACTGAGGCTGGCCACAGTGGGGAGCTCATGCACTGTCAGCTACTGAGGCCGGCCACAGTGGTGCGCTCAATTCTCATGAATCAAACAAAGCCCAATTGGCATGAGCAGCAAACAAGTAATGTTCACATTTACATATGGAATAAAAGAACAGGGTGTCAGGAAAGAGTGGCAGAAGAACAACCGCATAGGATCGCGATAACTGAAACGAAACGGACAATTTTCGTTTCAGTTATTCAGATTTTGCATCAAGGAATAAGAAGAAATACAGTGCACAAAGGGATAGGTGATGTAGTTCTCTCGTTACAGCTACAATAGAGCTTCCAGGAACCAAAACTAGCAGAGTGAGCTGAGCAGCAAAAGTATATACTAGGAATAACAACATGGGAGGTGTCAAGATTTTGGCAGCAGTGATTTGTAATCCTCACCAAACAGAATAAGGCCTAGGGAAGAATACGACAGATGCAATGAAACTTGTATATTAGTAATGAGAAAAACTGCCACAGTAGTAAGGGGAACAAGAGCGGAAATCCTAATTCTGGGGGATTTTCAACCACAGATAAATTAGACAGACAAATAAGGATCCCCACGGAGATGATGAGATATAGAGAGCAAAGCTGGTAGATATGACAGACAAACACTTCAAAAAGTTACATGTCACAGAACCAACATGAGTAAGAGGGGACGATCTACTAGCAACACCAGACTTGGTGTTTTAGCCGAAATGAAGCAGGTGTTGAAAATAATAGGGCATGGGATGCCTCTAGGAGCTAGCAACTACTGCATTATCATGCTGGAATACATAGTGGAGCTGAAGGAATAGGATGCACAAAAAAAACCGTTGAAGAAGAAGAGAAATTTCAGTCGTGGGGACTACAACATGATGAGGCCATCTTGCTCTGTGGGTAATCCAGTGGGAAAGAGAAATGGAAGGGAAGAGAGCAAATGAGACGATGGACTTCATTGCTGGGAAATGTGCCGAAACAACAGAACAGTTCACATCACTCATGAAGGAGGTGGATGAAAAATATAAAGTAAACTCCTGGTTCAAGAGACAATGCAAGGAAGCTAAAGAAGGGATAAAAATGCTTGGAATAAAGTACAGAGAACTAGGAAAAGAAAACAATGGGGAGGCACTACAGAGAACAAGGAAGGAATAAACCCGAATTAGGAGTGAAGCTGAGAGTCAATATGAAAATGACTTTGCTTCTTCAAAAACTAGCGAATAACCAAAACTATTCTATAGCCATATAAGTAGAAAACAACACTGCAAGGCCATTTACTCAGAGTAAAAAAAAACAAGGGGGAGCTCCAACAGAGATTGATAGGAAGGTATGTGAGTATCTCAACAAATTTGTTTTTTAATGCAAATTCTTACATTCTTCCTGAAGAAGAATGTAAGAATTCTTTAAGGCCTTACATTAGAACCAGCGGGGAGACCAAGGTTGCAAGATGAAAGGCCAGAGGAAATACTGGATGGCATCGTAGTCACTGTGGAAGAGGTGAAAAGATCCTGGGGAAACTGCATGTGACAAAGTCAATGGGGCCAGAAATAATCTCACCATGGCTGTTGATGGAGGCTGCAGAAGTTCTTTGTCACCCGTTGTCTAAAATTTTTATTTAAATCCTTGAGACAGGAAGTCTCCCAGATGTCTGAAAAAGGGAAACGTAATCCACATATTCAAAAAGGGGGATAAAAAGGAGGCTCTAACCCCTCAGACTAGTTTCATTGACAAGTATTTTTTATAAAGTGCTGGAAAAGTAATCATGTCAAGCATGGCGGATCATCGTGAGAGAATCGACTGTGACAAAAAATCTACATGGATTTAGAAATGGAAAGTTGTGCCTGACAAACGTGATAGAGTTTTATGACAAGGTTACTAAAATAAGACAGGAAAGATATGGCTGGGGTTGACTATTTTCTTAGACTATCAAAAAGCTTCTGAAGGACAGAAAGCAAAAAAGTCACAGTCAGACAGGAGGTTTCTAGCTGGAAGTTTGTACAAAGTGAGGTCCCACGAGGTTCTATCCTAGGACCCTTGCTGTTTCTAATTTATGTTACCGACCTACCCAAGGGAATGAGCTCAGATATGTCAATGTTTGCAGAAGATGCAAAGCTGATGAAGAACGTGGAAATAGAATAGGTACGCAGAAAGTTACCGACGGATCATAACACACTCCAGGAGTGGTCAGACAAATGTATTCTGGAATTCAGTCCCAACAAGTGTAAAGTAATGAAGATGGAAAAGTAGAGAGAAGACCAGAAAGCATCTACACCATACGGAAAAAAAGAGCTACAAGAATCAGAAAGGGAGAAGGATCTAGAAGTGGATCCTAGGATTTCGACACTCACCAGAGGCAGACATAAACAAAATAACAACGGCAGCAAATGGGATGCTGGCAAATATAAGAACATTGTTCTAAAACCAGAATCAGAATTCCTTCAAAGCAATTTAGAAAACATTACATAGACCAATACTGAAATACTTATCAATGGCATGGAATCCACACCTTGTGAAACATAAAGCCAAAACAGAAAAATTACAAAGGTTTCCAACAAGACTGGTGCCAGAGTTAAGAGGGTTAAGCTACAAAGATAGACTAGTGGAACTAAATCTCACAACTGTAAAGGACAGAAGAAGCCGAGGAATATGATCACAACTTGCAAGATATTGATACGAATATATTAGGTGGACAAGGATAGCCTCTTTAGATTGAGAGAAAGCAGGTCAAGAGAACACAGGTTTTGTGCCCTCTGTAAGGCCTTTTGCGCTACAGCTCACAGGATGAGTATGGGGTGCACAATAAACTAGCCGCCTCCGGCGGCAACAATGAATACAAAAAAAATCAGGTGGAGGCTGGAAACGCAAGTGAGCCGTAAGGGATGTAAAAAAGTACTTGTACTCTGTAAGTGTTTGTAGTTAAGATCAAACGCAACAGGTACAGTGTCTAGTAGGCAGGGTATAAAGAACTAGACCTCATTCCCCATATGCACTAAAAGGTAAGTACTGATAGGCAAGACGACCAAACCACACATCACAAGATGGAGAAGCGACGTTGTTTCGGTCCGTCCTGGACTATTATCAAGTCGTGTGAGTGAAGGAAGGTACTGGCCAATATTTAAGGTAAGGGAGTAAGATGAGAGGTGAGGAGCAGGTAAGAAAAGGAAAGAAAAAGATAAATGTAAGAGTAGGTAAGAATAGGATGAGGGTAATAATAAGATAAGAATAGGATGAAGGAAAGACAGGGATGAATGTAAGAGTAGGTAAGAATAGGATGAATGTAAGAATGAGGTAAGAATAGGATGAATGCAAGAATCTGGTAAAAATAGGATGAATGTAAAAATTCGATAAATGAAGGAATAAGGTAAAAATAGGATGAATGTAAAAATTCGATAAATGAAGGAATAAGGTAAAAATTGGATGAATGTAAAAAATAAGGTGAGAAAGAATATGATGAATGTAAGAATAAAGTAAGATTGGATGAATGAAAGAATAAAGAGAGAATAGGATGAATGTAAGAATAGGGAAGGAATAGGATGAATGTAAGAATAGGGAAGGAATAGGATGATAGTAAGAAACATGAAAGAATGAATGTAAGAAACAGGAAAGAATGAATGTTAGAATCTGATAAGAAAAGGAAGAATGTAAGAATAAAAGTTGAAAGATAAGAATAAGAGAAGGCGGGTAGGGGAAAAGCAACCGTGGGAAAACATAAGTAAGATCACGTTTGCTAAAAAGGATGGAGCATTTGAGCATGTACTCTAATTTACATACTCAAATGCTCCAAACTTTTTAACAAACGTGATCAAAATGATAATTTTTTTGACCAGCTTATAATTATGATCAATACATCAATCAATAAAGGACAAAAATTTCCTATTGGCTGGAGAGTGGCCAAGTTGCTCGTAGTGTTAAAATAGAGGGATGGGACACTACCTCAAATTATAGTCTGATTAGCCTAACGTCGATCGTGAGAAAGTTAGTTGAGGCAATTGCATAAAAAATAATAAGCTAACATCTTGCCATATTATTTGAAAAGGATTGTGTAAACATGGTTTAATGCAGAGGAGAGATTTTCTTACAGTTCAGCTGTCTTTCTTCTCAAGTGTATTGGTAGCAGTCGGCAGCAATAATAATAATTATGATGTCGTGTGTGTTTATCTTGATACACCTGTCACACTGTACCCAACAAGTGGCTGATCTATATGGTCGAAGCAAATGGAATTGGAGGAAATGTTCTCATTTAGATCAGAGCCTGATTGAAAGATTGAAAACAGAATCTTCACTACATTTTAGACCAAAAATAAAAATGGCAAATTCAGTTTATCGTTGATACTTACAAAGTCTTAATCTTAGGAAATGACATTGACAACATCTAGATTGACCATCTAGCATATCTACTTCAAGAATGATGGAGATTTGGGCAAATCGTTTCGAAAAAAGACATTGGGGCAGTGACCTAAAACTTCGGACGCAGTGTATCAGTTCTCACAACAAAGTGAAATGCTTGCTTTGATTAATGACCAGAACTATCATTTGCACAAATACACAAACATCCTCCTCTATTTGGTCCTTGTGATGCCCAACTTAGACAATGCTGTGCAATTATGCTGTGGGCATCGATTACCCTAATACAATGAGAAATGACTGGAGTAATCACTGGCATTCAGGTTCTTCCATACGACGAGAGGTTTACGGAGCTGCGTCTGCATTCTCAGGAGCAACAGAGAACGATAGAAAACATGCTTAAGGTTTTCAGGTGGATGAAGGATCTCAACACAACAAGGACTTGAAACTGTCAGCTCAGAACACAACCTGAAAATATGAACGTAAGTTAAAGATGTTCTAATTCTGGAAGGATTAGGGAACGTACTGATTTGTCAATTTGAAGGAATTTGAGTGGAATACATTGCCTGGCATCATTATGAGATTAGCTGAACTGCCAGATTTAATAAATTTAATAGGCAAACAAGATAATAGGGGGATTAGATATAGACTGACTAACTGACTAACAAAACCACTGCGATGATTCTTGTTTTTTTTTTAGGATGTTCAATAACCACAGACAGGGGCAATCAACTGTTAGAAAGTTGGAACAGCACAAGGAGGCATTAATGAGTAATATCCTAGCACGATATCAGTTGCTGATGAAGATATGAACTCTTGCTGAGGTAGATAAAATTGAAAATGGTAGAGACATGGAATCCGATATCCATTAGCACAGAGTCTTACTCTAGCTGGGCGATTAAGCGTTGTGTTAGCAGCTCATATACATTGAGTAGCATGGTAGAACTTGGCAAGGCTAGGTGGTACTTTATTACTAATGTTCCTGGAACTAATCCTATGTAAACGGAATCAGAATTGATTCCACAAGAAAAATCGCAAAGATTTATATAGACAATCTAATGTTGGCTGAAGTTGATCAATCGTCTCTTTGCAGGTCTTCTGAGATGGAAATGTGGACTTGCACTATTTGATGATATATATACTTATTTCCTCTCGTAGGAAACTATTTGTAACTATATAAGAGGAAAGTTGGTCATGTATTCCTTGACTATGAGTTAATGGACTTAAGTTTATTAGCTTTCTTTCTCTGTACAATTATTGATGGGAACCAAATTATATGCAAGTCCCTAAATTTCAGACACATCGCTACGAACCAGAAGTCAATCATTATCATGGACGTAGAGTCACTCTTTTTCACTGATCTTCACCCCAAATCTAACTACTTAGAAAACAAGTCAAATTCAAAACCAATCTATCCATCATATTGGAAGCAGACATCTCAAAGCCAAGCAAATGAAAATCATCCACATCGATCCCTAGAACCACAGGACCACCTCGACCGAGACACCCTCCTGCAGGGACTGTGGGGAGACTCAAGAACCACATGCCGAGGCCTTATTCTCGACCTCACCTCCAGCAGCAACACCACTCACCTCGCTCTCAGGTACAGATCTGAGTGCAATATATTTATCAAAAGATCACAGTAATTTTAAAAGCTAATCTAGCCATCATTTTAAACCTTTGAAGGACACCACGATCATTTGTAAAGTTAACAACAGTCAAAACATCTTGTCAAGCATCCAGGAAACATCCTTGTCATCTCACCCTTGCATCTTCATCCCTTAATTAGCACTCTTTCACCTTGCATTGTTTTGAAGTAAAAATAATTTGCTGCCACACCTCAAGTAACTTATACTTTGTTTATCGAACCACGAGGCAAGAAATCTTTTTTTTTTTTTAGGCAATTTCAGGGTCGTAGGTTTGTGCCACCTCACAGCCCTGGTGGATTTTCTCATTGAAATATATGACTTAATTTGTGATAATAAAAATAATCATAAATGCGAGGCAAGTATTACATTCAACATTTTATAAATGTGCGTTGATGATTTATCGGTGTTAAGATGTGGGCGTTGTTAAGACGGACTTATAATTTGTTTATATATAGGTTGGTGGAGATGTCTGGACTGTGGCGGCTGCCGAAGACGGTGGTGATAGCCATAGGTGGGAGGGCGGGGGTGAGGGCCGTGCTCCTCCACCACAGTCTCCGCAACACTGTCCACGCCCTCTACCTCGCCCTCCACCACGACCTCTACCTCGCCCTCCACAACGACCTCCACCTCGCCCTCCTCCACGACTCTCAACTCAAAACTGATTCACGCCTCAGGAAGCTCCTCGCCCAGGAAGGTGAGTACATATCTGTGTTATCAACTGTGAAAGTTGAGCTGCAGTTCTCGGTCTCTTTTCTCAAACTTGTGTCTAAAGATTTGCTCCTTTTCTAACACGGGGCTCGGTCAGGTCTACTTTCAACAGTCTGGTCTGTCGCTGCACAATGGTCCGGATCAGGACCTTCCTGGGAGCCTTACTCACCTATGGGTAAAATGCTTTAATCATTTTAGCTATTTTTTTGAATAAATGTTTGGGTTCTTATTGTGTCAAAACCATCACACACATATATAGGTGTTTATGAGTATATATGCAAAATATGTGTATTGGTAATTGTTTGTATAATAACCCTGAATTTACGAATGTTCATAAATATTTTAACATTCGTCAGTTCTATTCATTATTAATGTGTAAACAAAATATGGAAATGTGCTCAAATGATGAATATAGTTGTAATATATATATATATATATATATATATATATATATATATATATATATATATATATATATATATATATATATATATATTACAACTATATTCATCATTTGAGCATATATATAGAGTATATATATATGTATGTATATATATATATATATATATATATATATATATATATATATATATATATATATATATATATATATATATATATATATATATATATATATATATATATGTTTCATTGAATATGACCGCATATTCTGTATTTATTATTTTCTGGTTTAGGGCTTCTATCCCTCTAACTATTTTCTTAGCATCAGGGCTTAATTGAAATAGGAGTTCTCCAAAACTCATTTTCGTACTTTTAAGGTGAAGAAAAGAAGTGATTTACTATAGAGTGTATTACACTTATTTGTTAATTTGCACGACGTTTCGAACCTCCATGGTTCATTCTCAAGTGAACAGATCTTACAATACTAGTTGATTTTATACCCGCATTAGGTCAGGTGATAATACAATGAAGGTGAAAACATGGGGGGATACATAAGGGATAAACATAGGGGCTGCAGAAGGCTTATTGGCCCATACGAGGCATCTCCTATCCAAACACAAAGATTAATCCAGTGTAATTGGCCTGTTATGTTGGACATTGTCTTCTGTGTTGGCATCGATATGTTCTTGTCTTGTCCTTACTCTCATGGTGGGTAGAGTAAATAGTTCCGTGATTTGGGTGTTCATGGTAGGTCGCTCTATTCTTATGTGAATTGCCTCAAGAATTTGTAATCTTCTTGAATCTTGGGTTTTGTCTATTATGCAAGTATTCGTGTTCAACATTTCTCTTGTTAGAGTAATGTCATGGGCTTGTCTCATGTGATTCCTAGGGGCACCAGATTGAAGATGGCATGTCAAACGCCTCGTCAGCTTGGTCGACGTCATACCTATGTACTTACATTGAAGGTTACATCCTTCGTGGGGGCAAGTGTACATGTATACAACGCTTGACTGCTGTAGAGGGTTCTCCGTCGGCTTCGGGCTGTTTTTGATAAGGAGTTCGGAAGTCTTCTTGGTTTTGTAGAATATTATCAGGTTTATGTTTTGGTTAGGAGTAGTGCTTTTTACTCCTTTACGGATTATTTCTTTCATTATTCTTTCCTATACCCGGGCGTCAAAATAGAAGACGTCCAAAGGAATAACCAAAACAAGCATAAGGTCGGCAGGAAACGACAAGCAGATAGGAGAAGAGGGGGGGGGGGGGGGAAACGAAACAAAAGGAAAATGAAAAGCGATCTGGCACAATTAGAGAAGACAGCAGCAGGAGTGCAAGGCCACAAAAATACAGAGGACTGTCCCACGGAGCATCACACTCCCGCAGCCGTCTACTAAGCCCCCTCACGGCGCAAACGGGCCGGATGGGGAGGGGGATTCTGAAGGTTTGGTTTTACCAAGATTAATTGCCGTGTTGAATTAATCACATGTTGAAATTGAAGATGAAATTTCTCCTCTCATTTTTTTCTTTGAATCGATTTTGTCAATAATATCTGTGCTTAGTTTATTGTAATTACCTAATAATCTTCCTATGGCATCATTCATTCACCCTCCGTTTGCATTCTAAAATGCAGGTCAAGCTACTAGAATTGAGATTATACCAGGTTAACAAGTCTTTGGGGTGTAATGAATTGTTTAAAGGCCCAATGTATGTCTAACAACTATTAAATATTTACGAGCGACAAATATTTACAAGAGAGTTCAAGTAAGGTAAGTAAATATTAGGTGAAGGTATTTCCAGATGTGGCGTGGGGATTAGAGTTTGAAGGTTAGGTGGATTTTCCTTTAGTGCAAATTGCAAATGAAATTAGCAATTTGTAAAGAACCTGGCAGTAGAGACATGATTTTTTTTAATGCCAATGGCATGCGACATAAATAAAATAAAATAAAATAAAAGCTACCAAAGCACCCCACAAAACAGAACACAGAACAAAACACAGCACAAGTACATGGGAACAGAGATTTTTTTTTTACACAGAAACATATGAAAGGGAACACCAACACCAAACACAGAGGCACAAAGTATAATGACAAAAACAGTAATATTTCGTTAGTCAGAAGAATCAGTGGCAGTCACCTGGACCATAGAAATGTTCATTATAAGTATAGCAAGGATACAGAACGACGATATTTTTCTGGATACTCACTATACGGATAGCGCAACACGTAAGCGTCCCACACAGCCCACACTTCGTCCGTCCGGGGTACACCGTAACGTGAACGATTCATAAAGTCCAAATCTCCACCCCCAGCGAAGGCAATATGGGAACCGGGTCCACAACCTCCCATCTAAGGCATATAGCATCCAGGGACACAAAGGCGCCCAGGGAAGACACAGTAATATAATGACTGTCAAGCAGTATCCTCCCCCGCGATAACAGCTTGACGATTCAATGACAATTGATATTAAACCTCAGAATACTGAAAAGAATTACTGTATAGAAAATACGGGCTATTCATGCCCGAGCCACCTCTTGGGTGGCTTAATCTTTATCAATCAATCAATCAATCATCAAGCACGGGAGACATCTCCTGTCACGCACGGTGCAGTAGCACCTCCACAGATCTCCAGTATCAGTTCTTGATACTGGCAATGGCTCAAAAGGGCCACCACTTACGGGCTATTCATGCCCGTGCCACCTTTTGGTTGCCTTTATCTTCATCAATCAACCAGACACAGTAACATGTGAAACGGCCTTCACACAACCAACTACCGCCATCAAGGGAACACCCACTGCACCGTCAGCCCTCACCGGCGCCACCACAGGACCTGCCATAGCCCCCACACGGCCTGCTGGAGCTACAAGCACCTCAACATCAGTATGCTCACCACCCACATCAGAATCCACAGAAGACTGCACATCGGCCCAGGGCAAACCACGAGGAGGAGACACAGTCCGAGCTCGCCTCGAATGCTTGGAGACAGATCGCTGGTCGTCAGAACTATCACACCCATCACGAGGCACCGCAACAGAACCCCCATTCGTATGCGCAACACCACACATAGCACGATCCTGCAGTACTGCAGCTTTGACAAGTGGGGGCATCAGACCACACACAACAGAAGACTGCACCTCATGCGCATCCACATCAAAACGCATGGAAGATACCTTATCTGGAGACGAGGCAGTCAGGGGCGCCAGAGGCGGAGAAGCCGGCGACGGGGGACGGGCTGCACTGTCCACTACCACGACCCCCACATTCCCAACCAGGGGGGCCCGCAGTAACCAGCACCGCAACGACGGAAGACCCAGCAGCATCACTCTGCACAGGCACAGCATCCTTGGGCACACACACTCGCCAACACACCCAGAAGGGTCAAGCACCTCCAGAGGGGGGGGGGGGGAAAGACCTGCTCCCGAAAGAGATTCACCTGGTCCATGCTTCCTGTACAGCACCCCACAGCCTGGTGCCCCGCCAAACCGCAATGGAAGCAGGTACGCTGCTGCCGAGCGTAGAACACCCCGATGTAATACCCCCATCAGCTTGGCTGCGGAAGGAATATCAGCCTTCAGCCACATGGTCAGCATGCGGATCCCATTCTGGACACCCTTCACCGACCGGACGAGAGAGCGTTCATCTTGATGGACAACACCCAACCAAACTGTCCAAAATAGCGCCGCTACAGCACCTCGAGAAACTCGAAGGAGGCTAAATGAATGCGTGGTAACGTGGTCGTGCCAGTGCGCTCTGAAACAACTACAGAACCCGCATCGGCAGGAAGGAGCATCCATCATAGCGCTCGATAAAATCCCTGTAGATAACCGGGGAACACAGCTTAACAACTGCACAGTGACTTGAAATGAGATGGACATTTTCTACGTCCACCAAGACAATCGTCTACACGTCAAACGAGGCTACATCCACGAGCTGGAAGTCCATATTCCTGGAAAATTCAAATCCAAACGTCAATAAACGCAGCACCGGGGAGAGAGACACCCCCCATCATACAGGTGAACGCAGACTCAAGTCCCCGCGAACAACACCACCAAACGACTGCACACCAGCCTGCGTCAGCAAATACTGGAGAGCACAGCCGAAGTCAACCCCATCTGGCAGGCAAAACCCGAATTTTCCAAGACGTGAGTACTAGAGGCGGTTACAACATGATCGAACTGTAAACAGATCTCTTTCAATAATAAATACAGCCCAAAATCTTCAAGTAGGGGGGGGGGGACAAGCAAAACACTTAAATTCTAGAGAATAAACATATGTGACCTGAGTGATGGGGTGGTCGACCTTAATGATCTCCAGGTTGTTTCTTGATGACCACTGCCCAAAAACCCTGCCCACATACTCTAAGAGATTTATCATGAAGGCGTAAATAGAATGGTTAAGAGAGTAATTTCCATAACATTTTAGATTGTATGTTTTGTTTATCATCATCGAACCAATTAGCATAAATCCCTGGAGGACTCTAAAACTCTCTATAAAATGTAACTGCGTCGATCATTTTATGCATACATTGTTCTCTCGATTCATTATTACATGCAGGCCCCAAAGATAATTAAAAAGTGGAAAAAGATGGTTTATTAATCAGGTCCAAATTGATTCCTCTGGCCACGTTACTACCACACTTGCGTTACATTTACACAACATTGTCGTGGAGAGTGTGATTTCCTGAATTGAAATCACAGATAAATATCTGCGAATTCAATAGTCTTTTGCCCTTATGTTTTTGAAACAATTATCACTCTCCACTTGTGACTAATATATTTACACTTCTACGCCGGTTCTTATAATCACTCCAGGGCTAGCTGTGACCTCTCAAAACAGTTAAGGTTCATGAATGACCTAATACGTCAATTAGCATTATAATGAGAAACGAGCCTACTATGCTATGGAAAATAAGTAATTTATTGTTAACTTATGGAGGGAAACATTGAAATAGGTTAATGAAGCAAATAATAATAAAAATAAAAGAAAATGAAAGCGGTCTGTCTGATTGTATGATAATGTTCAAGACTGTAATGTTCGTACTGAACATTACAGTCTTGCTCAAGACTGAACAGTAGATGAAAGATGATGCCTTAAGGATATATATAAAGTTAAACAATAACAGCAGACAAGTTTAATATAATGACTGGATTTATTAATAATCATGGGGCAAGAGATATTTCTGTTCACCTAGCAGTAAGTGGGTACTTAGGAGTTAGTCAGCTTGCTGTGGTGTTGCATCCTGGGAGGGGTAAGTAATTTGACCTGAGGGGTGTGGGGGGGAGGACTCCGATATAAGCCTAAAGTGTATGAATACACTCTTGCTTCCTGTCCCCTGACACAATGAATTATCATTATTAAAATGATAAGTCGTTTATAAGATAATCAGTTGCTGGATAAGTACTGTAGATATTGCAGCCTGGGTTAAAGATGCAACTTATTGCTCAGAATCTCATGAATCACCACAGAGTTATCTCGTTGTTGTAGTAAAATATACTTTACTAGGTTATGGAGTTCTGTGGAGCAAGAGTAAAAATTACTGTAAAGGTATCAATGACACTATGTTAGTTCCGAGACTACCATGTCTAATGGAAAAAAAAACTTATTTCCACAGGAAGTGACTAAAAGAAATATTGGGACATTGCTAATATGGACTCCAGGTGAATGTTTTAGCTCACCCTCAGCCAGACACGAACGCTTGAACAAAGTCATACACGACTATGACCAGAAACCGAGAATTATTTGGAATAATTTATTGCCAGTGTTATTTGTTTATTGCCAGTGTTATTTGTTTATTGCCAGTGTTATTTGTTTATTGCCAGTGTTATTTGTTATTGTTTCATGGGATATAACTATTGAATTTGGATATTTAGTTACGTTTGTGTTGATGAAGCAAATTGCTCTAGAGTGTAATTGGGTAATGGGTATGAACATGCTGACCCTTCAGTTTTCAAGAGAGAACTTGACAAACACCTCCAAAGGATACCTGATCAACCAGGCTGATTGGACCAGGTCAATCAGGCTAACCAAGGTATGAATTTTCAGATTGACTCATCAAAAGTCCATGGTGTCTTAGCTTCAGAAAAATATATATCCTTGACTCAATTCCCAGCAATTTTTCACGGCGTAATTCAGTTTGATTTGTCACGACCCGGCAGCTTCGGGTGGCGTGAGGGTGTACAGGCGGTGTCTGTACTGCAACAACGGGGAAGCTGACGCCCAACTCGTCCACAACATGAACATCAACTCACCCGACCTTCCCTGGGACGACCTCTTCCACGGTAAGTTCTCAATACCAGAATCTATATGAAGCTCTCTAGCAGCATTTGACTTCTCAACTTCATGTATATTTAAGGATGAACATTCTCCAGACTGACCTTCATAGAACCTGTAATAAAAAATATTACGTAAATGCATCTTAAAATGTACTTGCTGAACTAACAGTTACATTTCTAATAATAAATAATTTAAAGGTGAAAGAAAGACCCAATATATATGTATTAAAAAGCACATTTTTGGGTGTAACCTACAGCCTTTCTCAATGTACTGTATACAATGCCTGTGAGAGAGGTTGTAGGTTACTTGCGAAAATTTGTGTTTTTTAAAACACACACAAATTTGGTCTTTCCTTCACCTTTATTCAAGCATTACGGGACTGTAGCAAGTTTATCAATAAATTATTTATTATACTAAACACTCATAATATCATTAATATTCCAGTACAGTACAAGCTGTTTTTACAATTACTTAGGTATTAATATTGAAAAATTAAATAACGCGTTAAAATTGCATTTCTAAATTAAAAACCTAATTAAATTTTGCAGTCTTGATACATATAATTTATACATAATATTTCACAAAATTATTTAATCCCCAATAACGATACATTTGAATTATTGTTCATATAATTAACATTCAAATAATTTCCGTTATTTGTGCTCAGTTGAACAAATCACTGATGTTCGTGATAAAATAATAAATACTCCTGAATACGAGGATAATTATTTCTCCAAATAGTTCTGAATTATTTGGAAAAATAATGCAGATTAATTTTAGTTAATTAAGATCCATTATAATATATCAGCCACTCCTCCAAAAATGGGGTGGTAAATGTAAGAAGACAAATAAGTACAATTATGTACTATTCATAGCAGTTAGGAATTGTACTTATTTTCACTTAGCATTAAATCGTACTGTCAAATATATTGTGAATATTTGAGTTTACCTGAAAAACTGAATAGAAAACCACAACCTCACCTAACCGTCTTAGTTTTTGAAGATAATAATTTTATTGCTTCTTAATTACAATTAGTACTTAACCTATAGCTATATTGATTTTACAGTTTTATAAAACTAGTAAAACAAAACTAAAATATATCAATAAATTGTAAAGTAACTCTGGATATTTTAAAATTTTGTGTAAAATCTCAATTGTTTAATGAACTGGAAAACGAAATTTCTGATATTTAAAACTTGTGTATAACAAATTGAAATTTTCATCCCAAAATTCTGAGTGTTTTAACAGAAAGCGAGGAGAATTTAATCGGGGGAGGGGGTAAAGCGAACACCAACGCTTTACCGTCACAATATATATATATATATATATATATATATATGTCGTACCTAGTAGCCAGAATGCACTTCTCAGCCTACTATGCAAGGCCCGATTTGCCTAATAAGCCAAGTTTTCCTGAAATAATGTATTTTCTATACTTTTTTTCTTATGAAATGATAAAGCTACTCATTTCATTATGTATGAGGTCAATTTTTTTTATTGGAGTTAAAATTAACGTAGATATATGACTGAACCTAACCAACCCTACCTAACCTAACCTAACCTATCTTTATGGGTTAGGCTAGGTTAGGTAGCCGAAAAAGTTAGGTTAGGTTAGATTAGGAGGTTAGGTAGTCGAAACACTATTAATTCATGAAAACTTGGCTTATTTGGCAAATCGGGCCTTGCATAGTAGGCTGAGAAGTGCGTTCTGGCTACTAGGTACGACATATATATATATATATATATATATATATATATATATATATATATATATATATATATATATATATATATATATATATATATATATATATATATATATATATATATATATATATATATTCATATATATATATATATATGTATATGTCGTACCTAGTAGCCAGAACGCACTTCTCAGCCTACTATGCAAGGCCCGATTTGCCTAATAAGCCACGTTTTCATGAATTAATGTTTTTTCGACTACCTAATCTAACCTAATCTAACTTTTTCGGCTACCTAACCTAACCTAACCTATAAAGATAGGTTAGGTTAGGTTAGGTAGGGTTGGTTAGGTTCGGTCATATATCTACGTCAATTTTAACTCCAATAAAAAAAATTGACTTCATACATAATGAAATGGGTAGCTTTATCATTTCATAAGAAAAAAATTAGAGAAAATATATTAATTCAGGAAAACTTGGCTTATTAGGCAAATCGGGCCTTGCATAGTAGGCTGAGAAGTGCGTTCTGGCTACTAGGTACGACATATATATATATATATATATATATATATATATATATATATATATATATATATATATATATATATATATATTTATACATTTTAAATATACATCATCAACACAATAAAACCATCCCCGACAGAAAGCTTACAAGATCTCATGGGCAACAAGATGAGAATAGCCACACCAACACAATACTTCCCATACGTGGACTACCAGCGGGTGAACGAGGCCCCGGGCACAACCGTCCTGTTGAGAGACTCCATTGATGCCCGGCTCATCCACACTTTCGCTGCCACGCTCAACTTCACGTAATATAATTGTGTTAAATTTTAGGCAATACATAATTATCTCACCTTTTTGTGTAAGCACATATACGCAAACTGGTATTTGTTTGCAGCTTAAATATGAATTTTGAGCGTCAGAAAACTAACAGTCATCTGTACAATGTACACCCATTCTCCTCCTTTTATCATTCAACCACTATCAACCTTACCTTCTCGAAGTCCTCACCTGACTTCCATCACTTCATTCCACTCCCTCTGTTGAGCTACCATTCATTGCTGCTCTCACTTCACCACTGTCACTTTTTCCCAATGGCATTTGTTCTCCATTTTCTCCCACATCCTATTTCTACTCCCTTCCTTTAACTGCATATGCATTTCCCTGAGCTCAGCTGTACGCTGCTCCATTGTTGGGAATTACTGAACAAGATGATGAAATAACACTGAAATGTATGATTATTTCGATCATCAGTGTCGAGGAATATTTAAATAAAGGAAACGACTAAAGACATTAACTCCAAAGTAATACGGAGAATCTCAGACAGCAGCTCACTGCTAATCAACTAAGACTTAAATCCACCTTGGAGCACAAGAAATGTCTCATGTAATAATTTACGTCTCACCCTAATCAAATCAAATTTACCTAAACAATTTCGTGGCGACTTCAAAATACGGAGAAGTAGTTCAGAAGATGCTCCTAAAAGCTGAAAATATAGTGGAGAAAGCTCAGCTAATACAAGAGTGTGGAGGAAGTGAAGAGGTAGACCAAACTGGCAGCACAAGTGCTAGACGCTCATTCAGAAGCTTCACAAAAATATTATTCAAAGAGAGTCGAGTGTGATAGTTACACTATCACACTCGCCCACGAACAGGGGTAGAGACTGAGACACTGGAACGTCATGATCAGAGAGAAAATCCGTAGAAGTCGGGATGAGCGTTCGAACCTTCATCAGGAAGGTTCAGTAGAAAAGTCTTCAGGTTGCACTCCTTATACCATGTCACGGTCTAGTCGCTAGAGCCTGTGCGTGGGAACTACCACCGCATTGGTTCGTGCCCTCATCACGGCTCCTACAGATTTTCTCATTGATGCAGTCACGTTAGTACCCTCTGTATCATGATCATATTATAAATACCTACCGTCTGTGGCCTTCAGCTCAACGTTATAAACGGAAACTTCAAAATATTTATATAAAATATAAAATAGTGCCGATATTCATGAAAGATGTCAGGCAAATAGTCCTAAAGAACAGGCCGATTTCGCTATCATATATTTTATTCTGAGGAAAGAAGTGGAAAAATGCTCAAGAAACGAACGGCAGAGCATTTGGTAGTACAAAACTGGTATGAAGAGGCAAAATGAAATTAGAGACGGCAAGTCTCTCCCTCTCACGATGATAAAGTGAGAGGCACTCTCACTTTGTCGTGCCTTTCACAAGTTGATAATATTAATGTTATCAACTTGTGACACACGACTGACAACAGGTGTACTACACGTTCCTAATCTTAAAATTCCTTAATACTGTGCTTCAGAAAGGCTCGAGTCTAAGTTGGAGAAATATGTGTGGCAGATGTATCATTGGGTAGATGTATCATGGGGTGGATGATATAACTTATATAAGATACCTGCCGGGGTATGGAATCCTGACCAACAAGAAAAGTTTCAGAGTCATAATAACAGAATATAAGGAGATAACAGAACTGGTTCTTACGTCTTGATCCTCAGAACCTGCTTGCTGTTCATGATATATAATTATGAGCAACCCATGTATAGCAAATTAATCAATGACGGTGAGTTTGTTTACTGTTGATTCTTTCTCATACTGCAGGCGATGAGTCACAATAACGTGGCTAAAGTATGTTGACCAGACTACGCTAGAAGGTGAAGGGACGACAACGTTTCGGTCCGTCCTGGACCATTCTTAAGTTCTCATACGGGTCTCCGAATGCATGAGAGAACTCACGAGTTCGCCAGAACAAGTGCTCTTAAAGAGGAAATTTATTACCATCTTCGCATGCCTTTGAGCAGCTTGAGGGTAGTAATATACAAGGAACTGTGACAAAACCTAGTAGACTTTAGGCACAGTGAAATTCTTACAATTACTCCGTATATCATCACTGTCTTATGCAGGAAGAACCACACATTTATAGATCTTCCAATAATGTTATTACTCTTCTAGAGTTACTTTTGCTTGGCAACAAGAACGTTTAAGAGTTAGCACCAACTGCTGACGGAGACTTGTCTAAATGTATTCTCTCTGCATAACTGTTCACATACTTTGCCTCATTATGAAACTGAATGTGAACAGAAATCGCCGAATTCAGACATAATTCTGTGAATGGCGTTGAAGAAATGTTTAAGTACTTCATTCAAAATTATGTACTACCAATTATCTTAACCAATTATCTAAACTTTGTTTACTGTAGGTGATGCATGCACATGACTGGAAAGCTGGCACGCAGTTGTGTTACCAATGTTATATGAATGAGGAGCTCCCGGACAGGGCTTCCAATTTATCTCAAAATGTTTTAAATAATGAGGGGTAATCTCTGACATGGCCCTCAACATGTAACAAATGGTAAACAATAAAAAAAAACACAAGTAGATCAGATACCCTCTCCTGCTGCTACTTTCTCTGACACCACACTGTCAGGCACTATCTGGATTTGCATCAAACTGTGTAGAAGGTGTTTAGTGTCATCAAAAATGAAACTCAGCGCTCAATAATCACCTGCTATCATGAGGTCACACCCTCAAACTAAACAACTGATGACTTGCCCTACTCTCACGTAATTCGGTTATCCTCCATTACAGTTCCCCTTATTTTCTCTCTTTATTATCCCGTCCACAGGTCGAGTCTATTGACTCTCTTTTTTTTCTCAGTTAAACCCTCACAGGAACCAGAGCAAACAAAGTTGTCTTATAGACAAAGATTTATTAAAAACAAATAAAGTATAAAGATTAAATGGTGCCTTGGATGGGGGTTCCCAACTCGTAGCACTTAACTTGGTCAACCCTCTTCAAACATTATTCAATCAACAGTTTTGGATATTATGTCATGTGCATATATATATAGTATCAGTGTAGAACTCGTTATCAATATATTAAACGTTGTAATCACTATTCATCAGAAAAATACTTACCTCTTTGAATCAATGCACAAACAACTACTTAAGAATATAGTAAAATGTCAATGTTGAGGATCACTGCTTCAATTGTTATTCCTCCATGGAGTCTCTGTATGTTAAATTGTGCCACACTAGGCTACCGTTCTCTTCATCAGTCTTGCTTTGCATAGGTCACATAGTCATCATTAAACATAGGCTTTTGCATGTAAGTCAATAAAAAACGACTAAACACTCTCACCTCCATTCACTGCATCAAGTATACTGATGCATTGGATTCCTCACACAAAGAAAAATGTTCAACGAACCCTGCGGATTTATCCTCCATATAATTGATACAACTTCTTCCCTGTTGATTTATCCTATCGCAAACAAACAGTAAAACCATTAATCAACTGATCCTAAAATGGATGTGAACTCCTTACAGCTACCATGCACGAACCTGCAACTTTACAATTAAAAAAAACTTACATGAACAACACGAAAATAGTAAAAATAAAAAATTATCCAACATTTGAGACCGTTCGGGGGCTTTTGCCGTACACTGCGAAATTTAATTCCTCCTCCAGGCGGGTCTACATTTACAATATCCTACCACCAGTACCACACTGCCAGTTTATCACTAGCGTACGTTAAGCGAACATGTGTCGCTCTCGCTTCCATCATGTTGTTTCAGCTTAATTCTTTAATATCATTTCATAATCACTTCACGCATGCTTAATTCATGAATTTAAGCATCAATATAAGAAGATTTTTTAATACAATCAAACTGTATCAATCAAAGGCTCTTACCGCAAAATGACTGGAACGACGACGCATGCATCCACAAAGTTAATATCTCTATATTCTGACTCGAGTGCGGGTCAATACACAAGTACCAACTCGGCTCAACGGTCCACAGGTCCTCACCTTGGAAAACCAGACCTCTTCTTAGGTCTACCACATTGGACTACAGGATACGATCACCCTTGGCTCCAGACCGCCCTTCTGATTCCACAAACCCCAACAAACTCCACAATCGCCTTCTTCTGGCTTACAACACTTACCTCAGTCGCCGTTCCTAGTCACATATGGGTTATTATGCAATAAGCCTTTATCTCTATTTTCATTTCTTAAAACATGTATTCATAAACATAATTATTAATGTACGAGGTTAAGTTAAGAACTTAACAAAGCCAAATCGATACACAGTTTCGAAATCCATGAGGAACCAAATCGCACCTGGGGAGTGGAGATGACTGTGGGCAACTTCAGCGGGATGATTGGTCTGCTCCAGCGGGAACAAATAGACTTCTGCACAGTTACTGGACCACTGGCGAACCGCCTGAGGGTCGTTGAGTATCTCAAGTGCTATCCTTCTGACCCGTTTACGGTCACCTCTCTCAAGCCCACGCTCCTGCCTAAATATCTCGCTCTTGTACGTCCATTTGAAGGTATATTTCTCTCAAATACCAAATTATTTTGCACAATAATGTACGTATGTGTACACACCTATTTATACCTTCACGACTGACTATTAGCTCTTGGACTCCACTTTTCTAGCCGTCAGTTGTTTAATGCAATGACTCCTGTCCTATTTTCCTGTCATGTCAACTTTTTAATCCTTAAACAGAGTTTGCTTCCACAACCTGCGCAATTTGATCATTCCATTTTCTCTCACGCTAAATGAAAACATTCTAACATCTCTATGACTCATCTGAGTTTTAAGCTTCGACATGACCCCTTGTTCTGTTGCTAATCAGTATGAACATTTCATCTATTTCCACTCTGGGCATCCCCCTTAAGTAAGTGTCTCTCGGCTTCCTTCTTTTTTGTTAGTGTCGTCTGGTTTGTGAGAATTTCAACGCACTATATCAATATTATAATCTAAGAAATGTATTATTTGTATATCACATCTATATTTTACATCAGATTTGTATCACAATCATTATTTTTATATCATACAATCAGAATTCTACATCGATTGATCTATTAGATCATACACATCTAAATCTTACAGTCTAGATCCTACATGACAATGCCATAATGGTGACATCTGCCATTGGGCTAATAAATGCCTATGTGATTTTGTACAGGAATTCTCAAGCATCTAGAAGGTTCAAGAACAACATAGCTAATTAAAAACAGCTGGAACATCATTTGACTTCCGGTAACAGTTAATTCAAATCTGTTAAGGAATCAATTCATACTACCAGTACTACCTATAATCATTAAATCAAATATATATTTATCTTATAATCCTACTTTATCACAAAAAATCTGTCTAAACAATAAAAATAACCAATAAATATTCATTCTTGGCCCTCTTCATTGAGAGAGGATGGGGCTACCGCGTGCTACAGCAAGCGTCCACTATGTCCCAGAGGCTCAGAACCATTGTTTATATTAAAAGAGTGTTCACATGTGTGGTGCTTGAGACATTATATCATCAAGACTTTACGCACAAATTAATCATAATCCACAGTGATAGCTCATTAGATACTCAGGGCAGTATTGAACTACATTAGGAATAATTCCTGATGCATTTATCTAAATAAATACGAGTGCAGAGAGGGGCTCAACACATGAGGCCACCGCCACCACATCAACAAAGATAAACGCAACAGCGTGCATCTATCCTTCAGCAAGCTCTACTAAGGATATATTCAACAGAGAAGTGCTATATTTCATCAAAAATACTCTGCCTAATGAACAAATCCATAAAGGGCCATGATGAGGGTGCGAACCTACGTCTGTCCCACGTCGCAATCGACGTCTACGTCTGTGCCACGTCGTAATCGACGTCTACGTCTGTGCCGCGTCTTAATCGACTATGACCCCTGTCGTGTCACATTCGATTAAGGCGCGTCTGGGATCTTAAAGGACGTAGGATTGAACCCTCATCACAGCCCTTATGGATTTGTTCATTTAATGCATCAGGCTATTGTGATTTCTGTGTGTACTCTGCCTAATCTCTACAAGAGAGACTGACTCTGGCAACTTGTCATATTGGGCTTCGGTACTATATTTGTGAAAAAATTATGAGTGTTTCAGAGTGTAGATTGGTCACTTACATGCTTTATAACCTTAATATGTCTATATATATAAATTGTGAGTCGTTAGGCAGCGGGGCAACGCCCAATTAACCATTAAGTTTTGGACATAATGTTCATTTTCATAACTATATCTTATCAATATTAACTGAATATTTTCATGCGTGAATCTCTTTTCAGTAACTTTGTCTCATAGATATCGTTAATTTATCATATTTGTATATCTTATTGTATATAATATCTTGTTTGCATAATTGCATATATATCTTGTTTGTATAATTCAACTACCTTGTTGTGTTTACTAGTATAATGTTATTGGCTGCTGCAATATCCTTAGAGCTAGGCTAGACTGTACAGTGTTCTGAAATTTTGAGTGTTCAGAACTGAAACAGTATTTGAAGTCATAGAACTGTTTTATCATTTAACCTATTGTATAAAATACAATTCTGATGTGTTGAAATGCCAACAGGTACTTGTGGTTCAGCAATCAATATCTGATAACCCTTAAGAATAGTGGATGTAAACCTACAGCCCATTCATTACCTGTATCACAGACTAGAGGAGTTGACCTTACAATCCAACATAGGACTCTTAGTAAAAGATAAGAATATCAGTCTTTTATTTTGCATGTTTTAAAGTAATATATAAGTATATACAGGACAAAATTTCAAGTCCTATATAATTCTTCTCGTTATCATAATCCCGGTATTTTTTCCGGCAGGTTCAGTTTTTTCAGTTGCTCGATTCTCATACCCATCCCTCGTTACAACTTCTGAACATTTTTCAGTTCCCCTATGTGTTTCTTCAGGTGGGGGCTGCATGCTCTAAGACTGGTCTAACATAAGAAGGGTAATGCGCTTTAAATGCTTCCTTACTTAGGTTTCTGAATGATGTTCTAACTTTTACTAATGTAGAGAATGTTTCTGACTTTATCATATTTATGTGTGGCTCTGGAGTTAGATTTGGTTTTACGTCCACTTCCAGGTCTCTTTCTCAAGTCGTCACTGGTAGGAAGTTTCTCTTAATTGGATACTGTCCCTTTGATTTCCTGTTCCCTATTCCCATTTCCATAACTTTACACTTGTATTGTAGTCCAGTAGCAATTTCTCTGACTATCTCTCCAATTTGTTCAAGTCCTCTTGGAGGATCCTACAATCCTCTTTTATCACAACTCGTCTCATTAATGACACTACATCCACAAACATCGGCGTATAGGACTCAACTCCGGTAGACATGTCATTTACAAATATTAGAGATAGAATTGGTCCCAGCACCAATCCATGAGGTACTCGACTTGTTACCGTTTGCCAGTTACTTCTTGCCCTACACTATTTCTTCCTGGCTCCTTCCTCTTAGGTAAGTCCTTACCCATGTTAGGGCTTATCCACTTACTCCCGCTTACCTTTCAAATTTGTGTAGTAATCTCCTGTGCAGGACTGTATCAAAGGCTTTTTGCCAGTACAGAAATTAGCAATCTGCTCATCTTTTCCTGTACTGACGTATTTTTGTTCCTTTATCATAGAATTCCAGAAGGTTTGTTAGGCATGATTTCCCTTCTCTGATCCCATACTGGATTTCGTTTCAAATTCTTAATTGTGTGTGTTTGGAACCAATCTAAACCTGATTATTCTTTCACGTACTTTGCAGGGGATGCTTATCAGTGATTCCGCGGTCTGTTGTTAAGTGCCTCATACTTATCTCCTTTCTTGAAAAAAATTCTTCATTTGCCTTCATCCAGCAACTGGGAAACTCTCCCTTTGTAAGTGACTCATTAAATATCCTTGCTAGAGGCACTCTGATGGCCTGCGCTGCCTTTTTTAGTATCCACGGTGATCCATTTTCTGGTCCAACTGCTTTAATTTCGTCCAGTAATGTTAGTTGTTTCATACATCTTCTGCTGTCACCTCTGTATCTGGCAGTCTCTCATCTAGGGTCATCTCTTCTAACAATGGGAGCTACTTAGGCTCGGTTGTGGACACTCCATGGAAACTGGCCTTCAGTACCTCGCAGATTTTCTTACGGCTTTCTGTATGTCATTTTCTATAGTACCGTTTTCCAAGCCTTGTCAGCCTTGGTCGTTCACTGTCATTCTCCTTCTTAAATGACTATGTAATGATGATTGATGTAGATCATGCCACCACAAGAGGTTGCACGGGCATGAATAGCCGGTTAGTGGTAGATGTTTGGAGTGAAAGTGATGAAAGGGACAGCCACTCCCCCTCCCTTCCTCTCTCTGTATCCTCTCATTCCTTATCATCTGGCATCCTCCTGAAAAAAAATGCCTCCAAGATCATATTGTTTACTTTAGTTTCCACTATTTCAATTATGTCAGGATCTGTTTCACTAACCCTTTTATTTATTTCCTCTGCTTTATTGGATACTCCATCCGCATTGGTGTATCAACGCTTGAGACACGTTTTGGAAACTCTATTACCAGAGTTCGTATAGCTCATCTGCTTACCTGTCTTTCTCGGTGTGTGCTGCAGGTGAGAGATTGATTTAGAGATGGAGAGATGGATTATCTACAGTAAGTGGTTGTGAGGTGGGAAGTGCCCACCAATAGGGAGGAGGAGGATGATTAGAGGCAGAAGGGCTCTAAGAGACAGGGGGGGTCCGGAGGTAGAGAGGGTCTGGTCAATAAAGGAAGTTTGAAGGGCACAGTGGGTCTAAGAGGTACAAAGGATTTGAGAGGCAAAGGAGGGGGGAGGGCAAGGAGCACTGGGAAGTAGAGTGAGGCAGAGAATAAGACAGAGGTTGAAAAGTAAAGGGACAGAGAGGAAGAGGAGTATGGAAATAAGGAAGGGGGTGTTGAGAAGAGAGGTTGTAAGAGTCAGGGTGTGTGCACGGGACAGAGGGGAATTAGGGGCAAGGGTGAGTTTAGGGTAAAAGGGGGTACGTGGCGGGTGGAGGGCTGAGGATGGGAGTAGGGCAGTGATGACATGAGAGGGAGAGGGGCTGAGGGATCACAATGTGTGGGGTGGTCTAATGCGATGGGTGGTGAGGCCAAGGAGAGGTGGAGTGGTGAAGGGGGGGTGTGGGGACGGAAATGGGTTAGGAGGAGTAGACGGATAGAGTGCATAGAAACAGAAGGTGTTGAGGACAACTCCTTCTGAAGTTGTCTTCAACTGAAAAAACAACAACAGAAGGACAGAAGTATAGTTAGGGGAAGAAAGAGGAAGGGGAGATGGGAGGGCTGAGATGGGGAGGGGGATAAATAACCCGAGGGGCTTGATAAGAAGAGTAGTGATGTTTTAGCCTTGAGAGGGGGGGGGGGGGGAACTTTGGGATTTAAACCTCCTAAAGAGAGCTGTGATTGTTGCACCAGACTGTTACTTGCATACAGGTAGACAGCATCCCCTAACGACTCTCTAATGGAACAAACAACCGACCTCAGCAGCCAG